AATGATTCTCGTTCGTAAGAATGTATACAAAGATGTTTGTCTTTTGAAAAATGTTTTAATGTTTTGAAAGATGTTTGGAAATGTGTGTGTTTTTTTTTTTGAAATTAGCAAGGATTGTTTGCATATTGACCAAGTAACTAGAAGCTTATCTACCTACTCAGAAGTCTTTCTTGTACATTTTTCATTCCTTTGATGTTGTTGACCTACCATTGATTTGGTAGGCAAACCTATATTTGGATGTTAAACGGGACGGGCGTGGGTCATCGTATGACTATGATAGCAATGATGCCAAGTATCTTAGCAAGTTTTGGAGGGACCAAGATCATTTGTATAGACAACCTTTTTGATAGCGTCATCGAGGGGCTATGATCTTTTGTTTTGTTTTGTTTTGCCAAGATACCTAGGCAACAAAGTGGATGAAACCCTATGGGTGCTTGTGTGCAATGTGTTGTCATTTTTCATGCATTTTTGTCTTGCATTAGGTCATGCTATTTTTTTGATTTTTGTCTTTATCATACAAACCCTAATTTTACTAAACATGTATATAATGCGATAAATTACGTAAAGTAAATCTAAGCTATTACAACAATATTATGGGAGGGGGATACAAGTTTTGAATGGGGGATATTGCTCAAAATAAAACCCTAAAAATTATTACAACCCAATTGAATTATTGTACAATAAATAAATAAAACATACAATTATTTAAATGTGCAAATAAAATGTATTTATGCAAAATGTTTTGTATTTGTTTTTATGTATGAGAAAAATGATTTATTAAACCCTAAAAAAGAGGAAAAATAATATGGTTATTTTTTGAAAAGGGGAAACCCTAGTTTTTGATTTAAAGAAAAAATATTGTTTTCTAATATTATTTTTGTACATTTTTTTATACAAGTAAATATTAATTAATATTATTAAAAAATATTAAAAATTAAAATATGTATGGAAATAATATATTATGTATATGAATAATAAAAAATAAAAATGTATAATATTTATTTAAATATATTTACAAGTTTTATTTAAGAAAATAAAGTATATTATTACTAATAAACTATTTTTTATGCCAAAAAATAAAAATAAAAATAAAAAAATGCAAAAAATAAAGAAAATATTTTTCATGATTTTTTATGGTTCAGAAAAAAAATAAAGCAATAAATATAAAAATGAAAAGAAAATATGAAAAATAAATAAAATAAGCAAAGGGGTGCAGATAGGAATATGGGGGATGTGAAAAACAGGCCCAAGGTGCCAGGCCCAGAACACCATCTTCATCCCTGTCTTTGGCTTTGCGCGCGCATCCCGTGTACAAACCTGTAACTCTCACATACGTGCACAAAATCAAAAACCCATAACACAAAACATGTAGCTCATGATCTCACGATTCTAGTGATATAAAAAACATAATCTAACTCTCAAGGATCATAGAGAATTTAATCACCCCTAATTTCTGACCTAGTTTTTTCATGAACTTCAAGCTTCAAATTCTCACTACTCAGATAATATAAATGGAAAGTATGCATATGTACAACTTCAGTAAGTTAAGGACTACATTTTTGCTTCACAAATCATGACCTAAGGATGCCTAAATAAGGAGATAGAACTTTGAAAAATACCTTGTTCAGCTGAGTTTGGATATGGCAATGTGGGGACTTTGAGTGAAGCCTGAAGATCGTGTGAGCTTCCTTGAAGTTCCCTCAAGCTTTTCCAATGCCCAGCTTGCCTTGAGGATGCTTGAAACTCCTTGTAGAAGTCAACCTGCAACCTTCAAAAGTGAAAATGGTGATGGCTGAAACAGGGCACATAGTTGCAGTGCAATGGCTTGGATAGTTTGGATGTGATGTAGGGAAGATGTTTGAAGTGTTAAAGTGAGAAACCCACGAGCCAATATTGATTTGGCAAGAGTTCTGCAGAAGATGCCCTATTTGAACAGAAAAATGTGATTTTGGTGTTTTAGAGTGTTTGGGATGTTAGGAGATCGTGTATTGGCTTGCAACAAGTTTCTAAAGTTGTTTGAAATGAAGCCAAGCCCTCTCTTTATCAGATGGGCAAGTTATCTTGACTTTTGCCAATTTGCTTGCTTTTGAAGAAAGTTGACATGACAATGTCAAAGGCCTGTACAGGCTAGCTTGTGGACTGCAGAGGGTTGGTATACTTTGCCTGATGTTTGTCGATCTTGCTTGCAACAAAAGATCAGGTCCATGGCTCAAGAATTGTAAAGTTGCAAAAAGCATGCTTTATCAAAGTAGTATTGTGAACTTTATGCCATTTATGGATTAATTTATTGTGCAATGCTTCAAAAGTAAAAACAAAGCCATTATCCATTGAGTTTACATTTAATTATAGAGTGTAGAAGGGATTAGGACCTGTAATACAAGGTACAAGCATGCTAGGATCTGATTTACAACTTGTAACATTGTAAACACGGCTTGAACAAAAGTGACAAATTGCCATTTTCTCTTCTTCGATTCTCCCTAACCACAAATGATCTTGGAGAGTTCTTGGACATTTTGGAAAGCTTGCAACATTATATACAATCCATCTTTGAAATGCAACTTGAGATACCTCTTGGAACTAGGTGAAAAGTTGCCATGAAGTTAGGTCAAAAATCTGCCTAAACTAGGGCAAAATTTCACTAAGTTAAAAAGTTTATGGACCCCTATTCACAAAATCATAACTTGAGATCCAAGCATCTTTTGGGAAAACTTTGTGAAGAAAAGTTGTAGATTTCATGTAGGAATACAACTTTAATGTTGGAAGTTTTCTTTGAATCCAATTTTATCATGGTGAAAAAGTTGTGGAAAGTTGGGAAACAATAAGAAAATTTCCATACTTAGAAATTTTCTAAGTTATGACAAATTTTCAAATTAAAACCCTAATTTGCAAAATTGATTTTCTTGATCAACAAGTTTCATATTTTGACATATCTTGATGAATTATGACCCTTGGCACTTGATTTTGACCAAAAAGTCAAAGTTTGACTTTTCAGTGTACAATTGATTTTTGATCAGTTGACTGGAAAATTCATCTGTCAATCCCATGCATTTGAGATCTTTTGAACTATGTGATTAGGTCAAGATGATGTTATTGAGTCCTTGAAATCATGCTTGAACCCAATTGGTCATTGGCTAGGTTAAAAATCAGAAATTGTCCTTTCTCAGTCAAAACCCTAATTTTGACCATTTTGCCCTTTTGATGATCTGATCAAATTTCTTGAGGAGTTGTGGTCCAAACTTGATCAAATGGTACATAAGAGCCTATAATGTTGTTGGGGATCAAAAATTATGAAGTTTGACTGTAAATTGACCATGGTTGACTTTTTCCCCAATACAGCTGATTTTTAGGTCAAATGTCCAATTGACTGAGCAAAAATGTGGTTCAAGGCTTGAAACTTGTCATGAGCAATCTTAAGGGTCCAAGATGATGTATGAAAGTCATATGAAGCATTGATGGTCCAAAAATCCTTGTGCAAACTCAAATCCTAATTTCAAGTCATCAGTGCAAGATGAGGTCTTGAGCTGAGCAAACCCTAATCTTGTCTTGAGTCCAAAGAGTATTGTGAGGAAAATCTTGATAAATGAGAGGGAAAATTTTGGGATACAACAGGTTGGCACTCAGTTATGTCAATGGTAATGGGAGAAATGGCTCACTTGTATCAACATCTGTGCGCTTCAAGCACTCATGGAAGGTGTATAAGTTCGAACTCTTGCAAATGTTGTCTCTGAGGCTGACATTTTAGTTACCACCACTGGTAACAAAGACATTATCATGGTTAGTGACATGGATAAATTGAAGAACAATGTCATAATCTGCAATATTGCTACTGGTTTTTCTGTTGGCAGACAGTTTCTGTCACTAATGAAAATATTGCGTGATTAGTAACTTCTGTCAGTTACATGAGAAATTGATAGATAACTTTCATATCTTTCAAAATATATTATCATTGTTGTGAAAGAGAAATAGAAAATTACTATGGCAGAGATGTTGATTAAGAGTGCCACACAAATGAGAATTCTCATCTAAATTGCATTATACAATTTATTTGTAGGAGATATACAAACTGTTAAGTTGTTTTCCTAGAAAGAAGGAATGCTATCATAAAAACTTGGTAACAATTATTTAGATAAGTTGCAAGCTACTGTGTTTAAGATTAGGCAACAAGAGAAAACTTGCTGATGTGGTATGGAATTTATTAACCGCAACGTTTTACTATGATATTGTAAATAAGTATTAGAATTGAATGCGTACATTAATTATGATATATAAATTTATCTCACGTTAGAGCGACATGATTTTCAATTAGAGTTGGGTTTTGTGTTAGTGTTACTGGAGGTTTGGGGGTGCATTTGTTCCTAGGCAAACACAATGAAAAAAATTGATGATGCAAATGAACTTATCTGTTCATGGATACAAAATAAGATCTCAATGTCCATTATGTTAATCAATTTGCACTGTAGTTTAACTAATTTCGCATTATAAATATTTCCGTGTCTACTTTTAAAAAGTATTATAACAAAGTTAGATAATAATGAGAAACAATTTAATAAATATAAAATTAGTTTTGCACTAAAAATAATTCATTTTATTGATTTATACTCATCGTACAAACTAACAATACAAAATAAAATTTTTACAAACTAAATTATTCTTTTATTTAAATTGTTTTTAATTATCAATAATATCATAATATTTGATTATTTTTTCTTTTTAAATGAACTTTGTTTAGCTCAATAAATTAGATGCGAACACACGTGTATCATACTAGTTATCTATAATATAAAAAAACACATTCTATCCGAAAATTCTATTTTGTCATTTTGTTCCAAAATCGCAACACATGGCTTGATGAGAGTTAAGCATATGAGAAAAGTCACTCATGCTTTTTTCATAATTCGCCATGTGGATGTCTCACCTCAATTGTTTTTTCTAGTTGTTCCTCATTTATTCTTTCCACCTCCAATCTTCCACTGTAATCTTACCTAACTTCATCAGCGGTTATGCAATTGAACGGTTTTAGAAATGTTTCACTCTCCTCATTCCACAATCAAAAATGGTTTCATCACCCATTAATCTTCTATAGTAGTTTCAAATGCGATTCCTTCTTTCTCTCTTCCTCTTCTTCACAGGTTTCCAACTTTTTCTCCTTTTCTCTCTCTGCATTTCATATCTTTCTGCCGTTCAAATCTCTTATGTATCTCCTCTCTAAACCTAATTGCCTTTCCATCAAAACCGCGAGATTGCATTTGAGAAGGCGGATCTGAAGTGTAAATCGGCGGTGACTTTGTGGTTCTGGAAAAGGGAACCAGAAACAACAATAATGTGTGAATCAGTTTCGGTGGTGCGGTGGTATGACTGAGTGAGACGCGGTGGTTTCCGACGCAGGTAAACTATGAATTTATCAGTTTCTTACCCTTATGTTATTCTTATCCTTGATGTTGTTGTTGTTTCATATTGATTAAGGAATTCAGTTATCAAAAGTTCCTTTGATGAGAACTTTTTTCTTGATATTAGAATAGTCATTGTAAACCAAAACATGTGCTCATGGTTTTGCTGATTTGTGCAGTAAGCAGACCCTGTTATAGAGAGGCTGGATCCGAAGCACTGCATTAGCTAGAGACTATCAAGGCCTGCTACTGAGTATTCCCCGTTGAGTATTCTACTACATCGAATGTTAGGATAAGGAAATAATGAGATTCACGAACCTAATCAAATCTCTCATGGTGTTCATCGAATGTGAAACGTGCTCGACCAAATCGAAACGAAAAGAGGATCACAACATCGATACGGACAATAAAAGATAAGTTTTCTCCTTTTCATTTCTAGAAGAAAAAAAATTACTCCTCGGTTTCATACATTAGTGAAACCACTTTTTTATTTGTGCATGCATGAGCATGCTTCATGTATATATGTGCAAATTTTATTTCTACTTCCCTCACTATGGCATAATAAACTATCTTATTGGTTTACTTTCTTAATTTTTTATTTTCCTTGCTTTTCAGATAGAGGCTCTTGAGGTCGCTGGATTTACTGGAGTGATGTTGGGCATCAATTACCAACCAGAGGTAAAAAGGGTCCACACCTATTTTTAAACATTGTTTTAATCTATACTTTATGAGATTTCTGTGTGGCTCAAGTTTCAGTGTTTTGACTTTGGTAATACTTTCAACTTCATATTATGTTAGTTGTAAATATTATTGTTTCGACGCCCGGAGCTTTGCCAAGGCATTTCGTTCGCGATAGTTTATTTTGGTTACTTGATTATCTTAATAAATTCAGTTGCATGCTATTGAAAAACCTTAATAAATAGTATATGTTTCACAATGTAGACAAGCTATCATCGCCACTCCTCCTTGCTACATTTGCTGTTGTTACTGCTGGCATTGTAGCTGCTGAGTTCGTGTCGATTTCAAGTTTGGTGGAAGTCAAAATGCAGCAGTTGGAGGTCATGTTTCTTTGGGCGTTGCTGGTGCTGCTGTTGCATACGCTCTCAACGCACTTGCTTCCCAAGTTTCCGCCTTGAAGGCCTTCTGAAAGTGGTTGCAACTTGCAAGACTTGCATGAGCTTCAAGTTTTTCACGTGGATGCGAGGGACGAAACTGGAGGTCATGTTTCTCAGGTTGGTTTTGAAGCCATTTCATAGGGTTGTAGAAAATTAGAATTTTTTTTTTCTGTCAGACGATGACGAACACAATTGTGGTTGCAATGTCGAAGAACTGTCCAAATCTTATGGTGTTTTTTCTTTGTATAATTAGGGTGTATCATCCTTGATGCTGTGACACAAGAACCCATGGATGAGGGTTTTGGTGCTACTGTTATAAACTGTAAGAAGCTCACCCGACTTATTGTATCTAGTATGCTGACTGATCGCATTTAAATACATTGGAAGATATGGGAAATTAATCAAGACACTATCAGTTGCCTTTGTCGGAGACACCGACACATGCCTCAAGTATGTACTCGAAGGGTGCCTAATTTGTAGAAACTTAAAATTAGGGACAGTCCATTCGGGGGTGGAGCTTTGCGATCGGGTTTGCATCATTGTTATAACATGAGGTTCCTTTGGTTGTCTTCCTGTAAATTGAAAGATCAAGCTTGCCAAGATGTTGCACGAGCATTGCCTCACATGGTTTTGGAAGTTATCAACAATGACGAAGATGTAGTCGAGGATATTGGAATATTGTACATGTATTATGCATGCTGCCTCTGCCACTATTATTTCTAAACGTGAGGTGTCAATATGCGATAGGTCTTTTGATAGTTCTACCACTCAGAATGTCAAACATGACGATTCAATTGGTAATAACACCCTTGCTTCAAATTCAAGCATTAGTTGTTCTCTTAATAGACTTACTAAGGAGAACACCTATACTGGGAACGTTGAAGGAGAGACTGTTGACAAACTTTCTAAAAGTTGCAATAGTTCAGGTTCTCAGTGTTCATTGCCAAATGAAAGGAAATTATTGTCTTCTGAATTAAATACTTGCGACATAGAATGTGAAGCTACAACACCGCCAATACCTGCATTGGAGAATGATAGTTTCTACAACAATGACAATACATGTTCTTTGAACATAACAAGTGCTTCCAAAGTTGATGTAAAGACATGTTGCTAGCGAGTATGTAATGTGGTTATGTTACTGTGTCTCATGCTTAACGCTAGGTATGGATTTAGAATATGAGGTGGAGAAAGTTGAAGCTTTTGTAAAACAACCAGACTGTTTTGTTTTTAGCTGGTGCGAGCGTTTTCATTGCTAAGTGACTTCATATATGGAAGATTGTTTTACAATCCAACAATAAAGCTAAAAAAATAATAATGTTATGAATTTTTATTTTACGTTGCTGCTATGTATAAGAGGATTGGCTTTAAATTATCTAAATGTAATTCTAAATTATATCCCTTTAATCCTGCTTTATATCGACGTCGGTTTCGGCTTTATGTCGCAACATTTGCTGGTTCCTAAACGTATCACATGTCGTGCATTCCAAGGATGATGAATCCACTCGGTAGACATTCTTGCTAACTTGGGTAGCCCTTTGCCTTACATATTCTTCTTCTGGATCAAATTTTGCTCCTAAAATCTGTCCTACCAACGAGACAAGTTTATCTACTGGCATAAACGCTTTTGTGACTGTATGAGATAGCTTTTGGAAAAAGCCTATGATATGTGTCTTTGGCTAAGTTCCTATGGACTATAATCTATTTGATTATCTAAAATGGTAGTAGTTCAATGTACTTAATATTTTGAGTATATCGTAGACTTTGTCTCTCTATGAATCCTTGGGTTATGGACCTGATGATTTGGAAGAATGTGTTGCTGTTCTACATGACTTGTATTTGTCAAGAAGGGTTGCATCCTTGAAAGTTGTTCGAGACAAGTACAAGCAGAACAAGGTGATTCTTTTTACTTTTAATATATCCTTTGTTGTAGTAAATTCATATCATTACAAAGTGATTGATTTGAAATCATTATTTGCAACAGTTCAACAGTTCACAACTTACACCAACGCATGATGCATATACAAATTCATATGACCAGAGTGCAAACACTGATGCTAGAAAGACAAGTGGCAATAACTCCGCAACATTAGGCATGCCGGACATAGAAATCAAATCTTCAGGTATTTTTTATTTTTGAAAGAAAGTAATTTATAATTGAATTTCTAGGCTTCTGTTCTGCCGATTAAGTGAATATTTGGGATTCTTTTAAGTGAATATTTGGGATTCTTTTTTGCAGGGGATGGAAGTCAAAAAATGGATTTTAGAGATACATATTTTGAAAACAAGACTTCCTTTCCTACTGGGAGACAAAATTGGAACATGGAATTCAAGGATGCTGCAGAATCTGTTGATCATGCAACCATGGCTGGAAAGCAGCTGTAGAATTTTCAAATAGAGAAAATATAAATAGGAAATATTCAAGTGGATTGCATAAATCTCCCAGCAGGGTGTCAAGAGCTGAAGCACCAAAAGACTATACTTTTCAAGATGACAAATATCTTTCTTCCGGTTCTGTTAATAGTACCATGCCTAAAAGCAGTTCTGGGATGCACAACGAACAGTTCAATGCTGGAGAACAAGATAATCTGGTTGGAATGCCCAATGAACATTACATGAATAGTAATCAGAATATGGTGAAACATGCCCAAACAGCTTCAACTATAGGTGGTGTTGTTGATGATGATAAACCATTTACCCATGGTTCTCAAATGGCTGATACATATTACCAAAATAAATTATTTAAGCAAGAGAGAATCGACTTATATGCGACAAGTATAAAAAGGCAACCAAGTAGTGTTGTTGAAGATTTTAGGACAGAACATCATTTTGATGATGATACTCATACTGAAAACAACGACTTTGTACATGCATAGGCAAATATACAACTTGGAAATTCTTCCTCTTCTCATCTCTTTATTCCAAGTGATGATCACAATGATAATTTGAACTCAGATGACTGGACGATAGGGAAGAAGGCTGCACAAGACCTTTTTAGTACTGAAGTAAACTCATAGACAACCACCACTAAACTAAGTTCTTTTAATGATACTTCTGTTGTATTTGATGATTCAGAATCTGTCAACGATGTTATAAATTTGATGTTGATAAAAAATACAATGGCAGTGGATCTGGGTTGCATTTGGATTCAACCTTGAAGATTCACTTAACAACAATATTTTATAATAGAAACAATATAAATAGTATTAAAAATTTCTTTTCTTTTTTGTCTAAAAGCCGTTTTTAAATAATTAGTATTAATTGTCTATTCAATTATAACATATTAAATATATAATTATTTCGTTTGCAAATTAAATATATCTTAGCTGTATATTTTAATTAAAAATTATATGTATTTTCACTTTATACTCAAGTGAAATAGTATAAATGATATAAATAAGAAAGATATGTTTTTGTTACTATTTCAATTTTACATTATTTTTTTAATTAAAACTATTCCATTTTATTGATTTATACTCATTGCACAAATTAACAATGTAAAATAGAATTTTTACAAATTCAATTATTCTTTTATTTAAATTATTTTTTATTATAGATAATATTATAACATTTAATTATTTTTTATTTCTAAATGAACTTTGTTTAATCAATGAGAGTGTCAGACCAATACCTTTACGAACGCACGAGTATCATACTAGTTTAATAATAAAAGCTTAGCTTAACTCATGTTTTAGTCATTAAGTTAATGTTTAGCTTTATTTTCTTATCTATAAAAAGTTTATAGATTAATCTTTCAAATGATTTCAATCACAATTACAATTTCAACAATTTCAAGGTAGAAAAGAAAGTATTGAACATCTTCAGAAACTATTGAATCTCACTTTCAGATGATATGTATGTTTTTAAGTATGTAGAGATATTTTTTTAAGTGCAAACTTATTATAGGATGGGATGAGTGTTTTTTAAAAATCTATTATGGAGAACAAATACTAGTTGCCATTGGAAGAGATCTAAATAATTAAATGTTGCCAATAATATTTGCTATTGTGGTGGGTGAAACTAAGAGTTCATGAATATGGTTTCTAGAATTGTTGATAGTTGACTTGAGGTGTTGGATTATGCAAGACCTACACATTTATAAGTAATCAACAAAAGATATGTTTTGATTACTTTTATGTTTGAAGTATTCGTTACTTTTATAGTAATTTTTTCTGTTTTATTGATATCTCTATTTTAATTTAATTATAGGGACACCTGCCAACACTTAAAGAGTTACTTCTCGGGGCTGACCAAAGATTACATGTCTCGAATTAAAGGAACTAATATGGAAGGATGCAATTTCAAGTCACAAAAACAAATCATTGGATTGTTAGGTAAATGTTCAATTATAAAGCTTCGTAATTTATGTATTAATTTACAATTGGATTGTGACTTAATTTATGATTTCAACATGTTATACAGGTGCTCGACTGGACATGACTATGAGGTTAGGCATATATCATAAAATGGAGAAAAGTACACAGTTAATATATCAAGAAATGAATGCTCTTGTAGAAGATGGATGCTAACAGGATTGTTATATTATCATGTAATTTCATGCATGAAGGATCAGCAAATAGAAAAAAGACTTCAAAAGCGACCAAAAATAGTTTTAAGCCAACCATAATTGTGTTAATAATTTCTCTTTCAAGTACTTATTATAGTAGTGTATATGAACACCTTATGTAATGCCATTTATGTTTCTTTGGTACTACATGTTAATGACAACATATGTGTCAGTTTGGTGTAAGAATCTATTTGAGTATGACACTTTATTTTGTAGTATATGTTTATTTTGATGTAAAAATCTTGGTTTAACATTCTGGTTTAATGTCATAACTATTATATTGATTTCTTGTTTAATAAAATTCTTGTCAAATGTCTTGAAATTATGATATTAAATCAGTAAATGAATGTTTGATATATAACATGTGTTGTAAAATAGTTTCCCATTAATTCTTTAACTTTATTCAGTTTATCAGTTTAGTACCTTAACTTTATTCAGTGTATTAGTGTAATCACTTATCATACGTTAAAAGGTTTCATTATAGTCTCAATGATAGTGTTTTATATATATGTTTTTATATTAGAGTTTTATGTCATGCTTTATACCAGAAAAAACTCAAATCACATAATAAATTCAATTGATGGAATAAACTCAAACAATTCATAAAACTAACTTATCTTACACATAGATTTGCAAAGGAACAAAAATCAAAGAATAAACTAAGGCTATTTGAAATATAGTGTTAAAATTACAAGATTCAACCCTAAACTCAAAATCTCAATAATCAATGACATTTTTAACCATCCTCTTGTGTAGACCACCTAATCCTTCAATTTCAAAATTTTCTACTTCTACCTTTCAATCTTCAAATCCTTTTTATCAAAATTTTTATCATCTAACCACTTGAAAAAACTACAACCTTTTTTATGGGATTTCTATAATTCCTAGAACCCCATATCTTTTTCCCATAGTTAACACTGTTCATATCACTCACAGTATGAATAACACATTCATTTTGACAAAAATATTCTCTGTTCTTGTTTCTACGAATTACATATCCAAATGTACTCGAGTTTTGGTTGTTAGACATTGAAGCACTGTTTGAAGTCTTTGACATTGAAAAGTAACACAAAATACAAACAAAAGAAAGATGAAGTTGATGTAGAAAAAATGGAGGATTAACACAGAACAAGAAAAAGAAGAAAGATGAAGATGAAGAACAAGCCTTAGAGAAATAAAAAAAGAATGAAAGTGAAAGAATGAATCTGAAAAAACATCAATAGAAATCCTACTTTATAATACAAACGTTGAGTCAGATTTGTACTTTGAACCTTGTTGTAAAGCCATGTCAGCAAAACTTAACGATTTTTGACAAAAAAGACCAAATCGACTAACAAAAGTGTTTTTAAGGGACTAAAGTGTAACATTTTTTAGATAAGAGACTGAAGCGAAATATTAAATTAAATTAAAGGGATTGGTGACTAATTATGCCTAAAAGTTTAATTGTTCCTCGTAAGAGTATAATTTCATAAATAATTATAATAAATAATTATAAGTACAATAATAAATTAAATAGTTTAACTATCTTAGGAAATGTTTAACGAAGGAATATCCGCGGTGCGGTTTGAGCTGTTTTGACGTTAAAAGACATAAGAGATGAGAGATTAGAGAACAATCACTACAAAAATATATGTCTCCAGCGACATATATTAGCGACGTGCTTATCACGTGGATAGTAGCGACGTGATAACCACGTCGCTAATATATTTTAATGACATTTAATGCAAATTGGTGAACGTTTTTCAGGGGGAAATTTGAATTTTTGTAGCGACGTGATAGCCACGTCGCTATATTTTTTTGGGGGGGGGGGGGGGGGGGGAAATTTCGCTGATGACAGAGTTGCAGTGTTGGAGAGAGAATAATATTTATGTTTAGTTTGTAGCGACGTGATTATCACGTGGCAACGTTGCGACGTGACAGTCACGTCGCTACTAGAAGTTACATGTTCAAAATTTTGATTTACAGTAGCGTGCTTTCTTCTTCCTTTCCTTGCTCCTCTCTAAAACATTACAGCAACTTCCTCACAAACCCAAAATTGTTCCTCTCAAACCCAATTTCGCGAATCAATTTTCTTCCATTCCAATTTGTTGAAGAAATCTAAGGTATTCATATTTTGATAAATGTTTATTTCGTTTGTTCGTTATTTTTTATACTGGAATGAAATATTAAAAATGGTATTTGTTCGTTTGTTCATTATTATTTGTAGAGAAATTTGAAGAACACCAAGAACTATCCAAGAAGACGCAAATTTATTGAAGAAATTATATAGAGGTATTTATGCATTTTTTTTTTAGATTTTATATGTATTATATAGATTAGATTTGTATATGTATTTTGTGGTTAGGAAGTATATATGTATATTGTTAGTAGTATATATGTACTGATAATAAAAAATTTTAGAAAACATAAAATTAAAAAAAAAAAATTTTATAGATGTATATATATATATATATATATATATATATATATATATATATATATATATATATATATATATATATATATATATATATATATATATATATATATATATATATATATATATATATATGTTAACAAATATATTTGTTCAGATTGCATATTTTTTAATAACATATTTAATATATTTTTTAAAAAATTTTAGAAAACATAAATTTAATAACATATTTAATAACATATTTTTTATAGATGTATATTATATTTATTATAATAGTTTTATTTTTTTATTTATATGTTAAAGATATGAAATAAGAATTTATAAAAAACATAATTAAAAAAAGAATATATATATTATATTATTATTTTAATATTATTGTTATATATATAATAAAAAGTATATATGTTACATTATTTGTTTTCTAATATTATTGTTGTATATATAATAAAAAGTAAATATGTGGATGCTTTTGTGAACGTGGATGCTTTTGTTATAATATGTTATTGTGAACGTGGATGCTTTTGGTGTGAACGTGACATATGATGAACCTGAAGATTTTGACGGGGAAGAGTTGCCGAATGAGGAAGCGCAAAGATTTTATCAATTATTGAACGAGATGAATACGCCGTTGTTTGAGGGGTCGTCAGACTCGAAGCTATCAATGTGTGTGAGATTATTGGCCGCCAAGTCAAATTGGAATGTTTCTGATCAATGTCTGGAACATTTTGCAAAAATGATGTTGGACTCCACCGCTACGAAAGACAATTTGCCTACAAGTTATTATGATGCAAAGAAGTGGGTGTCGAAGTTGGGTTTAAAAGTAAGAAAGATTGACTGTTGCATTAACGGTTGCATGTTGTTTTATGACAATGAGTTTGGTACTCAAGATGGAT